CTGGCTCCAGCTTGGCTTCAGAAACAACAGGAGAGTGAATATTTCTAAGGTACATAAAACAATGATGGCATTAAGGGGTGTAGCTCAGGTAATTAGCAATTGGCAGAGCACAGACCACGTCCTTGGTTTGGAAATGCGTTCATTTATTGGCTGAGAGAGTAGGCCAGACCTGCTTAAGTCCAAACTTCTTTCTTTCTCTCTCCTCCTCTTCTTCTTTCTCCTCCTCCTCCTTTGCCCACCCCTGCACCCCCCACCTTAATCTCAAACTTGCTCTAGTTCTTGTGTATCTATAAATTGCTTTTGGAAGGTAATACTTTACAAAAATGTTTCAGTATAAAGTTGACTTATTTTGATTCCCATACACATTTTTTACTGGTAAATACTTTTTTATTTGTCAAATGATTGGGGGGATCTGAGTTTAAAAGGGTTGGAGGGAGAGCAGAGGGTAGCAACGGAGTGTGAATGAGGTCGACTACAGTGTCCATTTTTCTGGCTCTTTTCACAGTGGCTGTAATTCTCCACTGACGGTGGTGCTGGGGTGGGGTAGGCACAGGACCATCCCAGTCCCAGGTCAGGTGGACAAAAGCAGATGTAGGGAGAGTATCCGTGGTCTTGTTATGCTCGAATTCGGGACCCCCAAAAGACCACCAGAGACCAAGATCGATGTAAGCAGCAAAGAGGTGTTTATTGCGAGCTAGCTCGGTCCTCTGCGCGCACACAGCAACTGGTGACGCTGAGAGGCCCCGAGCCCAGGGTTTGCAGCAGTTTTATACACTCTTTGGAGAAGGCAGGGACCCCCACATACATCATAGCAAATCATCACACACCGCGGGAAAATCAAACAACAACTTTAAAATATGATTAGCTTATCAAATGGCGGGAAAGAATCTGGAAAGGATTATTGGTTAGTTCAAGGGGTTGATGCATTTAAAAATAATTGGTTTAAACGGTGAGGATGTCGCAAGGGGGGTATGTGCCAAGCTGCAGGGCTTCTAGTTTAGATATTGGTCACCACACCTAGGTGCGGGCCATCTGGAATCTCAGATATTTCGATATCTTGGCCTATCTTAGGAGATCACCATCTGCGGCTTTTCCGAGAACTGTTTCCACAGAGCTTTTCTGTGGTATTTTCCTGACTTTAGGACTGCAGTAGGTCAGAGGTTAAGTTTCAGAGCAAAATGAGGTCCCAAATAGAATGAGGTTGCTTAGGTCTTTCAGTCTGATTATAGTCTATTTTACACCTGACAGAAGATGGTGACATTTAGACTTTGGGTCTTCATAAACTTGATGGGCGGGTCTACATGGCTCTAGTATAAATGCAGGAGGAAGCCTCATGTCTGTTCCAACATATTGCCATGGATCTCTCCTTCCCGTGAGGACAACAAGCTGAGAGCTCTGGAAAGATGTCCCCAGACCTCAACCTCTGATTCCATCCTATGGACTCCCCAGTACAACAGTGGAGTAGGAAGGCCTGCCCTGCCATCCAGCCCATTTCCACGCTGGTTAATTGGTTCTGCTGGGCATGGCAGGCCTTTTAAGCTGAGTGTTCATGCTCCAGGCCAGGGAACCTGAGTGCGTGGGGCACATCTCTGTTGCACAGACCTCCATTCAAAGACAATTGTAAAATGTTGAACTAATCACATGGAGGATTATACTGAATGAATATTTAGAATGCCAGAATTGCATTCAGCTGTGAGTAATAGAAACCTGAGAGGCAGCAGTTTAAATAAACAAGAGTTTATTCTGCTTGCACAGAATGAGAATTCCAGAAGCAGGCAGCTCAGGGCTGATACAGCAGTCCCGGGGCAGCATCTTAGATTGTGGCCCTCTTTCTAATGTTCATCAAATAGCGACTGCTGCTCCAGCAATCACACAGTGCTCCCAGAAACAGACAGGCAAAAGGGCCAAGTGGAAAAGGGTGCCCAGCAGTTGAGATAGCATGTTTTAAAAAAAGCTTTCCCAGGAGTCCCCATTTAACAACTTTCACTTACAATTTGTTGATCAAATCTGGATCATACAGGCCGGCTGGCAAAAGTTGGGTTTAATTTGAACATACTGTTTCTTTTGATAAGATCTGTTATTAAGGAGAAAGGTGAGAATAGATATCGGGTAGGCACCTAGAAGTCTCTCTGCCACATGTCCATGAATGGAATGTGAAATCCTCAAAGTGATCAAATGAGACATGACAGTGGAAGAAGCGATAGAAGACACTCAGAAGCCTGGGCTCCAGTCACTAGCTCCCAGAGGCTGGCAGAGGACACTGACGGCTAATAACACCAAGAATCCAGCCCCTCGGGCAAGCCGACACAATAGGAAGTGAATGGTGTCACCCTTCAACACAGAAACCAGCCCGCCGGATTGCCAATCCCTGCTCCAAGGACGGAACCCGTGAGAAGTAACAGGAAAGAATATTAGGTACTATTTGAATGAGCATACCTTGTCTTCCCAGTGTTAACATTTTGGTTTTTAGCAAATACATATTTAAAGGAGAATATTACATCAATTAAGTTTGTATCAACTCTCTCCTGAACCTTCAAGTAAATTCTTCATACTTCATACAAAGCTGGTGCTGCGGGTCAACTAAGCCCAATGTAAGGCATTTTTGTTTCAGATAAACTGAAACATTATTTTATATATCAATGAACAAAAAATCAACCAATAATAGTGAACACTATACCATGCCTTACTGTTTGTTTCGTCAACACCTATATCGAATAATTTAACATATTGGGATATTTTAGATGAGCTGCTATTTGTGTAGAAACTAACCTTTCTTACCCTCTCCTCCTTCACTGTTCCCCCTCCCACACACACACTCACCCCACTCTCTTACTTCCTGCTTCCCACCTTATCATTTTGTGCCTGTGTGTGGTGCTGGGGTTTGAACCCAGGGCCTTGTGCATGTGAGGCAAGCACTCTACCAACTAGGCTATATCCCCAGGCCCCACCTCATCTTTATACAGAAAGGGAAATTCTGATGGGGTGCTGAGATGCTTCCTAGGTTAGGGAGGACAACTTAGAGTCTGAGCAGGTACTCAGGTACTTGGTTTATACTTGCACTTTAAAATAGCCTCATTCAGATGCTTTAAATGTATTTGCTTTTAAATTATTGCCCCAATTGCAATGTGTTTCATTCAGCTTTTGTATCACGGTGACCAAAATACCCAACAAGAACAACTTGGAGGAGTTGGGCTTTAGAGTAGTAGATATTTGTGTTGGGCTTTAGAGTAGTAGATATTGCTGGTGAAGTCAGGTTTCAGAGGTCTCAGTCCCTAGATGGCCAACTCTTTTGCTCTTGGTCCAAGGAGAGGCAGAGCATCACAGCAGAAGGGCCCAGCAGAGGAGAGCGGCTCAGCTCATGGTGGAAACAGAGAGGCGGGGGGGAAGGGGGTCACAGGGAAGAAGCACCCTTCCAGGGAACACCCCCAGTGACCCTCTTCCTCCAGGCACACCCCACCTGCCTACAGTTATCAGACACCCCATTCGAACTAGGAGGGACTGATTAAGCTACAGCTCTTACAGTGTGATCATTTTACCTTTGAATATTCCAGCATTAAGAAGAGCTTTTGGGGACACCTCACAGCCAAACCATAACAAATTGCCACCTGAATCCTTATGCTTGTGTGAGTACGCGTATCTGTGTTGTGTGTATATGCACGTGTGCGTGTGTGTTACTTTAGCAGCAACTTTTCCACTACTGTTTGTGAACTGCTACACTCTGATAAAGCTAGAACCCCTTGCTTATCAGCCTTGGGGCAAAGTAAGATACAAGGCTCCAGGAACTCTCAGGCCTGTAACTTGGTACCCTGACTTGAGAGAATGGTTTGGCAGCATCTACTCAAACCGAACACAAGCATCTTCACAGACCATACTCATGTCCGTCAACTTAGTGACACAGCTTTATCCCCACCCTTACACCAGGACCCAGTCAGCCTTTCTCCTCCTATGATAATGCAAGCCTTATAGACACTCCCTCCTGCAGCCTTCTCCATCAGCTGTGAATCATGGTGGGAAAGGTCAGGAGACTTGGGCAGATTCCTCTCAATAACCTCCTTGAATACTAAGGAAAACTTCCCACTGTTTCTCCAGAAACCTGCCAAGTCTATACCATTTAAGATGACTTCACCAGCAATATCTACTACTCTAAAGCCCAACACAAACTGGCTTAGAAAATCAAGATGAGTCATTGGCTCGTGGTGGGTTCTATCAGAGCTCCAGTTCAGTGTCTCTGACATGTCTCAACTCTGCACTTTGCCCAATCAGCGTCGTCATTGGACAGAAGTCCTCAGGGTCTAAAGATGTCTGTCAGCATCAGCTGGGCCATGTGCTTCCTTGTTCAAGTGAGAAGGCAGCAGTCCTCTGTCCAGATAAGCTCTGAGCTTCCCTCTGATTGACACTCTGGCCATGGGCCCACCTCCTGAATCAACTGTCGGGGCAGCAAGATTCCATCTGCCTGCAGTGCTGAAGACCTAAGCTCTAGAGACGCAAACAAACAAACAAGCAAACAAACTCCTGTGTACTGCCCCTACTGTCTAGGATAATTGGTGCTTACTGTGTCTGCATAACTAAAAAGGACCCACCCAAATGGCTCATCTCAGAACAAAGAAGGTGTGCTCTGAAGTGATTTCACATCGTCATGATTTCTTATAAACAGCATTGGTAGGCTATTTAAATGTCATCTTTCCTCCTACAAATTAAAGTTATCCCTCACTGTAACACCCACTCTATTTGCTAAGAAATCTAAGAAAAATTAGTCAAAAGCAATGACCACAGCCCATAGCATTTATAGCACTGGGTTCAGAGATTAAAAAGATAATGCCTCATCTTCGACTAGCATTTTATAGTTTCCAGTGCTTTTACAAGCATCTTATTTCATCCCTAAGAGCTGGGTAGGAGCTGTACTGTTACATCCAGTTTGCAGATAAGAAAATCTCAGAGAGATTGAGTGACTTACTCAAGGTCAATGGCTTATAAGTAATAGAGCTGTCATTAGGACCTACCTCTTATGCATCAGGATGTAGATTTTCCTGTTGATGAACTTTCATAGAATCCTTTTCCTCTGATGGGTCTTTTGGATCAGGGTATAGAATAAGAAAGATAAGATGCAAATTTGATTGTGGTTAACATGGATGAGACATTGCATAGCGTGTCCAAGGAGGATTCCTCTGCTGCAGGACTTCTGTGCATAGGAGAGAGAAGATGGGAAAGATCTGCTCAGCCTTTGCTTCTGCCCTTTTCTTTTGGTTTTGTTTCCCAATTTCTTTTTCCCTGTTTCTTTCTGAAATTCTCTTCTCTGGTGCAACTTTCTTAAACATGGTACCAAACACTTTCTATGTTCAAGCCCCATTCAAGAATCCATCCTGAAAAGGCACCCTGGGAGAGGTGGGCAGAGGGCAAGGTAGGGCAAGGTAGGAGAGGGTGGGCTGCAAGGCATGGGGGAGGAGGGAGAAGAATGAGAATGATAGAAGAAAAATAGAAAGAAATAGGACTCATTGGTTGTCTATGACACCAAAATTAACTATAATTTAAGATGTTATGTTACCTTCAAGGTAATGTAACTTTGAGTTACAGACCCAGGATTATTGATTATTTAAAGTGTAGATGGAGACTGCCCAGATATTATAATATATTATCTTTTAAAATTTGTCCTAATTAGTTATACATGACAGTAGAATGCACTTCAATACATAGATGGAGTATAATTTCTCATTCTTCTGAATGTACATGATGTGGAATCCCACCAGTCATATAGTTATATATGTACATAGGGTAATAATATCTGACTCATTCTACTATCCTTCCTACACCCAACCCCCTCCATCCCTTCACTTCCCTCTATCTGATATAAAGTAATGCTATTCTTCCACACACACTTCCTTTATTGTGAATTAGTATATGCATATCAGAGAAAACATTCAGCCTTTGGTTTAGGGGGATTGGCTTATTGGGCCTTGCATGATATTCTCCAGCTCCATCCATTTACCAGCAAATGCAAAAATTTCATGCTTCTTTAGGGCTGAGTAATATTCCATTATATAGGGACATATATGATGGAAAGAAAATAAGATATATATGTATACATACACACACACACACACATATATATATATATGAGATATATATCCATTCATCCATTCCTCTGTTGAAGGACACTTAGTTTATTTTTATAGTTGAGCTATTGTGAATTGAGCTGCTATAAACATTGATGTGGCTGTGTCACTGTAATATGCTGATTTTAAGTCCTTTGGATACAGAATAGAAGACACAGAGACAAACTCACACAAATGCAGTTATTTCATACTAGACAAAGGTACCAAAAACATTCACTGGAGAAAAGAAAGCCTCTTCAACAAATGGTGCTGGGAAAATTGGAAAGTCACATGTAACAAAATGAAATTAAACCCCTCTCTCTCACCCTGCACGAAACTCAACTCAAAACGGATTAAACACTTAGGCACTAGAATAGAGACCTTGCGCCTAAGAGAAGAAAAAGTAGGCCCAAATCTCCACCATGTTGGCTGAGGACATGACTTCCTTAACAAGACTCCTAAAGCTCAAGAAGTACAATCAAGCCTCAATTAATGGGATGGATTCAAACTAAAAAGCTTCTTTTCAGGAAAGGAAACAATAACATGAAGAGAGAGCCTATAGAATGGGGGAAAATCTTTACCACATGTACCTCAGATAGAGCATTAATCTCCAGGACATATAAAAAACTAAAAAATTTAACACCAAAAAAACCAAATACCTCAATCAATAAATGGGCTAAGGAACTCAACAGACACTTCTCAGAAGAAATACAATCAATCAACAATTACATGAGGGCTGGGGATGTGGCTCAAGCGGTAGAGTGCTCGCCTGGCATGCGTGCGACCCGGGTTCAATCCTCAGCACCACATACAAACAAAGATGTTGTGTCCGCCGAAAACTAAAAAATAAATATTAAAAAATTCTCTCTCTCTCTTTTTAAAAAAAAATTACATGAAAAAATGTTCAACATCTTTAACAATTAGAGAAATGCAAATCAAAACTACTCTTAAGATTTCATCTCACCCAGTCAGAATGGCAGTTATCAGAATGGCAATTCTCAGCGGGGCATGATGGTGCACGCCTATAATCCCAGCGACTCAGGAGGCTGAGACAGGAGAATGACGAGTTCAAAACCAGCCTCAGCAAAAAGCGAGGCACTAAGCAACTCAGTGAGACCCTGTCTCTAAATAAAATACACAATAGGGCTGGAGATGTGGCTCAGTGGGTGAGTGCCCCTGAGTTCAATCCCTGATACCTTCTCCCCCTCCAAAAAATACAAGCAACAATAAATGTTGGCAAGGATGTGGGGGAAAAGGTACACACAAATATTATGCCTCATAGCATTCATTTTAGATAAATTGGAATATTAATATCCTCAGTTTGGTGAAAGTTAATTTTCTATGATTCGGATCTGCTTTGGAAAATATGGAAAGGTATTGAGAACTAAGAACTGTTAAAGCCTGGAAGATAGTCCTTATCTATTTCTTCCCTCTGAAGTCAACTTTTAGATCTGTTTAAGGGGCAAAGGGCCTCTCTGAATTGTTCGCACTAGGAATTAGATTGCATCTAATCTTGTGATGATGAGAAATCCGGCTGTTGTGGCAATGAGAATGATCTAATTTTTGCACTTGTGGCATGGAAGGTTAGGTTGAAAACTGACAGGCACCAGGGTCAGAGTTGGGCTGCAGGTGCAGCTTGTTTGCCTTCCAATGTCTTCAGAGAAGAGTTGTCTCTAGTGCACCACTGACTCCTGCCACTCACACAATACATACATGACCACACACACCCCTCTTATTTCACCACTTCTGCTACCCAACCCTTAAGACTTTTGGGTTTGAGACTTCTAAGATAAAAAAAAAATAAAAAACTCATTAAATATATAAGGCAAGAGAGAAAAGAATCAAGCATTTATCTTGGAAAACACGTAATGAAATGAAAATCCTAAAAAGGTCAAGTTATTAGTTACAAAAACAAGGAGAAATGTCCTTCCTAATGAAGTTACTGGAATCCAGGTCTGTTTTCTGGAAGGCAAGAGTAGCCTTCACTTAAATCTAGCTCTGGAAAAAAGGGATGGAGCTGCAGAGCCCTCGAGATGGCGTTCAGTGGGATGGTTTGTTCGATGACTCTGGGAACTAAAACTGTAACAGAAAGGATGAGTACATCAAACAAATGGCCGACAAGCAACATGATTATAGTTACTACAGGACTGAGATAATGACAAAGAGATGACAAAAGCAAAATGAAATACCATTCCCCAAGATAGGTGATACCTATGTTCCTAACTCCAGTCTGAAACCAATAGTAGGCAGGCACTGAGTGAAGGTAAGGTCAAGAACTGGCTGAAGAACAAAACAAAGGTTATCTTTTAAAAGTCTTACTTCCTGATTAAGTTTAGTTTTAAAATAAGGTATTTGTATTAGTCAGCTTTCCATTACTGTAACAAAATACCTGAGATAATCCACCTAGAAAGGGGGAAGGTTTATTCTGGCTCACAGTTTTGGAGGTTCTGGTCCGTGTTCAGCTAGCCTATTTGGGCTACTGTAGTGAGGCAGCACATCATGGTGGAGGAAGCTGCTCAGCTAGTGGTGTCCAGGAAGAATGAAAGGAAGAGAAGAGGCATGGGGTCCCAATAACCTCTTCAAGGGGCAGGCATACTCCTCTAATTACTTCCACTAATCCCCACCTCCTAAAGATTCTACCACCTCCCAATAGCCCCAAAGGATGGTGACGAAGTCTTCAATACATGGCAACAGCAAAGCAAAAAGAAAGGGAAAAAGATAAGCCAAGAGTCTCAATTCCTGATGAAGATCCCATAACCTCTCCATCATCAATACCCCATCCTGATACTTTTTATCCTCACCTAAGTGCATTTGGCAAAAATTCATTTTCCCCTCCATTTTAGTATTTGTGATTTACAGCATGATCCTACCTGTGCAAAGAGCCAACTTCTTCCCTTGATTCAAGGGGGGAGAAAAAACATGTTCCACAATCCACAAATTCAAGCATTGATATTAAGTTAAGAGTCAGGCTCTGGAGTCAGACAGACATGAGTTCAAATCCTAGTCCCATCACATATTAGCTCAAAGACCAGCAGCATGTTGTTACCTTCTTCCCCTGGGTTTTGTTTTTTCTCATCTACAGTTTGGGCATAACAACATTTGTCCACCTCACAGGGCTTAAAAGCTGCTTTATGTGAACGCATCTGGTCCAAGACCTGGCATGGTAGTAAGCCCTCAATGAAGAGTGGCAATTGTTATTTAAAATAATCATAGTGAACTTGAATGTCTGTGAAAGGGAAAGTTATCCTCCTAGTCAGTCCACGAAAGAGGAGCTGGCGTCACATCTCTCATCATGGCTGAATGCCCCTCTGCCTCTCTCTGCCCAGTTGGACAGCTTCTTCTGCATCAGCAGAGACTAGGAAATCAGCACTATCAAAACGAATGAGACAAACACTTAGAATGTGACTGTTATGAGCCCAGCATGGTGACATGGTACTAGACCTTAAAAGAGGTCTCATCAAAGGTTGGACTGCAATCACAGGAAGGAATAACAGTTGTAATCTATCCAAGCTGAGATGACTGAAGACTATCTTTCATTGATGCTACATAAGAGAAGAACAGTAACAAATTGTTAGAAATTGCCTGAGCATTGAAAACTGAAATCTCAGCACACCACCTTATCACAATGCTGAGCTATGCCTCCGTACAGCTTTTATTGAGCACCATGTGCAGGGACAATGAAAATAACCTCCTTTCTCAAGGAAGAATGGTCAGGTGCCGCGTGCTCTGAGGAAGAAGGCAGTCACCCAAGGATTTGGGCAAACAGCAATCTGAGACATGGGACAAAAATATCAGACCTTCAGTGTCCGCGTTTAACAAAAGTCAACCATTAAAAAAATAAGGATATATATATATATATTTATATATAGTATATATATTTATATATCTTCAAATATATACTATATATGAAAAGTGGTGTCTGTATATAGTTTATAAAAAAAAATAAATATTGATGAAAGTTCAAATTTTCTTATTGATGGAATTCTTGATCAAAAAGATTTGGGAAGCACTGATCTAAAAGGAGAAGAAAGACCAGTAAGCCCACAGTCAAAATCTAAGGAAGAGAGAACTTGCCTGGGACATAGATGAG